GTTGACCAGGATGGTCTCGATCTCTTGACCTCGTGATCCACCCGCCTCGGCCTCCCAAAGTGCTGGGATTACAGGCGTGAGCCACCGCGCCCGGCCTCTCAACTATGTCTTAAACATAGATTCCATTTATTGGTTCGCATTTTTTGTTTAGAAAAACAAGTCACCACAGAACAATCATAAAAAAAGCCGGCTTAGGATTTCAAGTCTATAGTAGAAAATACATAAAAATCCAAACACAAAAAAACTAAGAACTGTGGGTGTGCTGTGTATTTATTGTTTTTCATCTAAAACTGGCCCACATGCAGATGGGCACAGAGCTGCTGCCATTGATGGGGCAAAAGAAATAGCACGATATCACATAACTGAAACCTGCAGACTGAAGCCTGGAGTAGTAGCCGTTTATCTATATTTACACTTAACAGGCTTTTGACACACTTGGGGATAAAGAGTGTAAGTTTTACAGTCAAAAAGATGTGTGTTTGAACCTGGGCTTCACCGCTTCCAAGCAATCACATTCAGCAATCATTTCAGGCCTCTGAGCTTCAGTGTCCACGCCGGCATGATTTTCCTATCTCACAGAGTCAGTATAAAGATTACTAACAACTTAGGTAAATCATCTAGTACATTGCCTGGCACCGAGCAAGCTATCAATGAATGGTAGTTAAAATAATCAGTATTATTATTATTATGAACCCTAGCTGGAAGTCAATGAGACAGGCACAGGCACATCAAGCCACTTTGGGGACCCCAAAAGCAAGTAAAAAGTACAAACTAAACTTCTTTTTTCCATGCTTAAGAACAACCAGAATATATGACTTTGAGAATCATGACAACTCTCGAAACAAGTCCAATACAGTGGTTGAGAATATACACTCTGGAAACTACTCCAAAAATTCCACTTTACCACTTAGCTGTGAGACTCTGAGCAAGTTGCTTAAAGGAGATATCCTTTCCTCAACCAAAACAGAGCCAATAACAGTCCTTCAAAGTACTCAGTAGGTATGGTGGCTCACACCTGTAATCCCAGCACTTTCAAAGGCCAAGACGGGAGGATCACTTGAGGCCAGGAGTTCAGGACCAGCCTGGACAACAGAGAAAGACCATATTTCTACAAAAAAAAATTGTTTTAAATTAGCCAGGTATGGAGGTGGATGCCTGTAGTCCCACCTACTTGAGAGGCTGAGGTAGGAAGATCACTTGAGCCTAGGAGTTTAAGGCTGCAGTGAGCTATGATCATGTCTCTGTACTCCAGCCTGGGCAACAGAGCAGGACTCTGTCTCAAAAAAAATAAAATAAAATAACAAGTACTTTGTGGGGATCTTGTGATGGATAAACGAAATAAGACAACCCATGGAATGCTCTTAGCACAGACTCTGTCAACAGTAAGTACTCCAAATGTTAACTATCAGACTGTCCACAAAACCCATGGCACCCCCAAGGAGTTACTGAAAGGAGTCTAAATAAAGCTGCAACACTAGTAGGTACTTCAAACAGGGGTACTATTTTTCTGTAGTACAGAGTTCAAGGTGATTAATAAAATGCTAATTACATTAAGAGTTCTACTCATTATAGCTTTTAAAAACAAATAGTGATTGATGAAAAATGTTCAAACAATAGAGAACTATACAAAGTAAAAAGTGTGTTCATTCATCCACCCCTGCAACCCAAGCCTTAGGCTCCAAGTCCACTTTCCAGGGAAGCCACTGGAAAGTACTATAGTAGGCACTCATCAGAAGCTATCTTTCAATACATACATAAAGTTGGGGAGGTGGGGCTGGATTTTTTGCAAAATGGGATCATACTATATACATTATTTGTTTATTCAACAATGTATCACAGAAGTCTCCATATCAATGTATAAAATCCTAACTCATTCTTTTTAGTTGCTGTTCAATGCTTTGAACGATAGATAAATTGTAATTTACTAAACCGTTATACTAGCATTTAGTTTACTTCTAATTTTTTGCTTTTGAAAATAATCCCAAAAGCTTGAGCCAGGAGGTCGAGGATACAGCAAGCTGTGATCCCACTTGGGCAAAAGAGTGAGATCCTACCTCCAAAATAAATAAATAATCCCACAGTGGCCCAGGCACAGTGGCTCATATCTATAATCCCAACACTTAGGGAGGTCAAGGCAGGAGGCTCACTTAAGGCACGGAGTTCAAGACTAGCCTGGACAGCCCTATCTCCACAGAAAATTTAAAAATTAGCCAGGCATAGTGGTGCACGCCTGTAGTCCCAGCTACTTGGGAGGCTAAGTTGGGAGGACTGTTTAAGCCTAGGAGTTTAAGGTTACAGTGAACTATTGTGCCACAGCATTCCAGCCTGGGCAACAAGGCAAGGTCCTCTCTCTAAAAATAATCATCATCGTCATCAACATCATTCTACAATGAACACCTTGTTTGAAGGGCATTCAACACATGTGTGGTTATTTCTGTTGAACAGCTTCCTAAAAGCTGATCTGCTAAATCAAAGGTTTTGTACATTTTATATGTTGATAAGAAATGCCAAATTATCCTCCAAAAAGGATGTATCCATTGTACTCTCTGTAAGTAACCATCTTCATAAAAAACAGAAACAAAATAGTATCATATTGTGTAGAAAAACTGAAATTTTTCCACATTAAGAAGTGACCCTCTGGCCAAGTGCGTGGCTCACCCTTGTAATCCCAGCACTTCGGGAGGCTGAGGCTGGCTGATCACTTGAGGTCAGGAGTCCAAGACTAGCCTGGCCAACGTGGTGAAACCCTGTCTCTAGTAAAAATACAAAAGTTAGCTGGGTGTGGTGGCGCACACCTGTAATCTCAGCTACTCAGGAGGCTGAGGCACAAGAATTGCTTGAAACCAGGAGGCAGAGGTTGCAATGAGCTGAGATCCTATCACTGCACTCCAGCCTGGGCAACAGAAAAAATTTAAAAAAAGGCCAGGCGCAATGGCTCACACCTGTAATCCCAGCACTTTGGGAGGCTGAGGCAGGTGGATCACAAGGTCAGGAGCTCAAGACCAGCCTGGCTAAGATGGTGAAACCCCGTCTCTACAAAAAATACAAAAATTATCCAGGCGTGGTAGTGAGTGTCTTTAATCCCAGCTATTTAGGAGGCTGAGGCAGAGAACTGCTTGAACCCAGGACGCAGCGGTTGCAGTGAGCAGAGATTGCGTCACTGCACTCCAGCCTGGGCTACAGAGTGAGACTCCACCTCAAAAAAAAAAAAAAGCCCTCATCTTAAAAAAAAAACAACAACAAAACTACAGTTCTAAATCCTTACTTTGTCCCTCTCAGCATTTGAGCTCTTATGCTATCTCATCTTAGCACAACTCATTACATGACATCCTCTGCAATGACCTCGTTCATGTCACAACCAGTTTTCCAGTCCCCAAGCCACCCTGGCCCTGTCCCCTGGCCAACTATGGGGAAAAAGGAAGGACTAAAGACTTGAAGTGTTCCTGCCATCATCTAGCATCCCTGCCAAGCCCCACTAAAACAGAATTATTCTGTGTAATGATCATGGTAAAAGCTCTACTTTGTTGCTATGTTTTAAGGCAGCAATGGGTTAAAATCTCTTAATCAATAATCATTGGCCTACAGGTAGTTTACACGTTTCATTTTGTCCTGCAATATTATTACAATTAGGAGCAAGAGCAGATAAAGGTCATGTTGGTAATTAAAGTTATATTGTAGAAATATGCTCACCCAAGATATGATTAAATAAGAAAATATTACTCACTTCAGTATCATCATTAAACTTGTATTAATTTATAAATATTTAAATGTACCATATGATGGTCATAAATAATCTGTTTTTGTCAGTTTCTAAAGTAATGCAACCCATAAACCCTTTAAAAAATTACTGCAGAAAGGAACAGTCAAGAAAGTATACAAGCCAGACTTACATTCAAATGCTGTAGTTGTGGCTTCAGGCAGAACCTGGCCTATCACATCCTAAACAAAGAAAGAATAAAGAAACACAATTAGCCATCTTCTTTATTGCTAACATGTGGCAAATACTAGAGGAAATATGAGAACCTGGGAAAGATTTTTGAAACGTTAGCATAAACTATAAAAACATTAGCTCATAATCACACTTAGCCCAGCAACATAAACTCAAGAGTTTAAATCTCTATTCCAGAAAGAAAAATCTTTAAGAACCTTTTTCTACATTTTAATTAATAACATTCTATTGTCAATTCAATGGTGTATATACAAATACACTGTTGGGTATTTACAAAAACTTGGTTTCTTCTATGTTAGGCTGTGGAATATACTACAGTTGAAAGAGAAAGGGGTTTTGAGGTTCAGACTGACCTAGGTCTCAATCTCAGCTCTGCACTTATTATTAGATGTATGACTTGGAAAAAAAAATCACCTAGCCTCTCTGAGCCTCTATTTGATCACCGTCCAAAATGGGTCTAGCAATACTCACAGAGGTCGTGTAAAAATTAATCTAATGAACATAAGCTTAGACCTAGCACACTGAAGACATTCAACAAATGTTCCTGATACACAACAATCAACACTGCACCTCTAACTCATAATGTGTGGAGTTCAACACACAAGTTTCCGTGACGATATAAACCATTATGTTACATTGATCACAAACAGTTCTTACCAACCTTTACTATTAAGCAACAGAAAACAGATTTAATGACACTGAAATAAAGTTAATCTAGCCTACAAAAAAATCTAAAAAGTGTATATAATCTGACATCAATGTTTAAGTAAATCTATAAAGCTGAAAATATGCAAAAATTACTATACTGAGACAGCTTCATTGAATAAGCACAGAACACCTAAGCTCTGGGGAAAGTGACCCTCCATCATGTCCAGTCCAACTCCAATGGCCTGCAAACCTCATTTCTCTCCGGGAGCTCTGCCACAATGTCCTCCCAGGCTGCACCAGAACTGGCACCAGGCAGCCGGCTGACAAAGCCGCTTGCAGTATTTCTCAGCAGGGATCCCACAGCCTTTCCAAGCAGGGCATTTAGCAGAGTGGCGGCTGCAACTTCCTTCTAAAGGCAATTCTTTAGAAGCTTTTGCTGCAGTAGCAATTTGCATAATAGTCTTCCCCTCTATAGTGCTTTTCTTTTTTTTTTTTTTTTCCAAAAATAAATCTGTGCATATAAAACTGATCAAAGAGAACTATCTTAGGCAGCCCTTGCTCATTACAGCCAAAGAGATTATTTTTTTCTGACTCTAGTCTTCACAAATGAAACATCAACTTTTTAAGGAAGTATCTACAAAAGATTTTAATGTTAAAAAATTATTTCTACACTCTCATAGTTAGAAAGTATTTATTGACAGGAAACTGTAAAGGGAGTACAGAATAAAGCACACTGGCAATCCAGTGTAAAGCCTAAAAGCGTGAAATTGGAGCCAAACTGCTGTGCCTGGATGCTAGCTCTCTCTCACAGCTGAGGGCACAAAAATCTCTCTATGCCTCAGTTTCCTTATATGTAGTACCAGATCTTAGCTGTACCTACCCAATGAGTGTTTGTAAAGTGCTCAGAAGAGTGTCTAGCACGTGGCAAGTGCCATGTTAGTGTATGTTAAACAAATAAAACAAATCACTGATCACTAGAATATTACAAAGCTTACCTCATAATAAAACTTTGAAACTCAGCACCCAACAATCAGTGGAGGACGGTGATTCACTCACTGATATCACCCTTCAGCAGTATTCATTGAACACCCATTCAGTGTAGGTTTAAAAAAAATGAGGTAAAAACAACTCCTCCATCCCCAACCCTCTAAATCTAGTTTATCACAGGTTACTTTCAGGGAACTCTGATCTTGACGTGTGAACTCTACCTCAATAGTGTTAGCAAACTAATTTAGGATCCTTCCTACTTCTGAATAGCAGATCCCATCAAACTGCAGAGTTCCAACAACCACCTGAAAACCCGCTCAGTGGCAACGGCATGCCTTAGCCCACCAACATAAACAAGGCGCTGCACATGCTTCTCATATGATATGCGGAAAAGGGAGAAAGAACTAAGCAAACTTGCTAAGAGAACCATGTGAACACAACCAATTTTGTTATTTAAAGCAAATAGGCTGGGCACGGTGCCTCACACCTGTGATCCCAATACTTTGGGAGGCCGAGGCAGGTGGATTACCTAAGGTCGGGAGTTCAAGACCAGCCTGACCAAAATGGAAAAACCCATCTCTACTAAAAATACAAGATTAGCTGGGTGTGGTAGTGCATGCCTGTAATCCCAGCTATTTGGGAGGCTGATGCAGGGCAGGAAAATCGCTTGAACCTGGGAGGCAGAGGTTGCAGTGAGCTCAGATCATGTCATTGCACTCTAGCCTGGGCAACAAGAACAAAACTGCATCTCAAAAAAAAAAAAAAAGCAAATAAAGTGGAGCTATCATAATGACAAAGAGGCAGGAAGTTTAAAAATCAGTAATATCTGCTAGTAATTTTAAAGCAGGGTACATTTGCTGATTTTATATACATTTTCTGTTTTTTGTTTTTGAGATGGAGTCTCGCTCTGTTGTCCAGGCTGTAGTGCAATGGCACTCTGCTCACTGCAATCTCTGCCTCCCAGGTTCAAGCAATTCTCCTGCCTCAGCCTCCCAGGTAGCTAGGATTACAGGTGCGTGCCACCACGCCTGGCTAATTTTTGTATTTTTAGTAGAGACAGAGTTTCACCATGTTGGTCAGGCTGGTCTTGGACCCCTGACCTCGTGATCCGCCCGTCTCAGCCTCCCAAAGTGCTAGGATTACAGGCATGAGCCACTGGGCCCGGCTTACATTTTCCAGTTAAAGTGACTTATTTCCAAGCAGCCTTCTTCTCCTCTCAATAATATAACATTTACCTAACCTAAAGAAGGTTTCAAAAGAAAACTGGGACAGGCACAGTGGCCCATGCCTGTAATCCCAGCATTTTGGGAGGCCAAAGTGGGCGGATCACTGAAGGTCAGTAGCTCGAGACCAGCATGGCCAACATGGTGAAACCCTGTCTCTACTAAAAATACAAAAAAATCGGCTGGGTGTGTGGCATGTACCTGTAATCTCAGCTGCTCAGGAGGCTGAAGCAGGATAATCACCTGAACCTGGGAAGCAGGGGTTGCAGTGAGCTGAAATTGTACCACTGTACTCCAGCCTGGCCAACAGAGCGAGACTCTGAGGAAAAAGAGAGAAAGAGAGAGGGAGAGGAAGGAAGGAAGGGAGCCGAGGCTTACATATCTTGATGATGACCATTTTTTGATCCTTTTCTTCTTCCTTTCAATAAATCAGACAAATATCTGACAGATCAAAAACATAACTGAGCATCTACAACATGCCAGGAGTAAAAAGATCACAGAGTTGTAGGCTACAGGAGAATAAATCTTGATCCTTGACTTTAGGAAGATTATAAACAGGTTAGGGAGCTAAGACAAACCTGAAAGACTAGTAATATAAAACACTTTTAAGAACCAAAGACATAAATAGCAAATAGTATTTGGTAACTCAGGAGAAAGGAAAAATCACAGACTCAGTTTAGACAGAAATCTGTGTGTGTGTGTGTGTTTTCTTCTTTTTTTTTTGAGACAGGGTCTCGCTCTGTCACCTAAGCTGGAGTAGTGGTGCAATCACAGCTCACCATAGCCTCAGCCTCTGGGTTCAAGAGATCTTCCCACCTCAGCCTCCCTAATAGCTGAGACTACAAGTATGTGCCACCATGCCCCACTAATTTTTGCATTTTTTGTAGAGATGGGGTTTCGCCATGTTGCCCAAGCTGGTCTCGAACTCCTGGGTTCAAGTGAACCTACCTACCTCGGCCTCCTAAATGGTGGCATTATAGGCCTAAGCCACCACTCCTAGCTCAGAAATGTTATAGATGAGGGGAAATCTGAGCTTGGAGACCACCGGATACAAAAAGAAGAGAGGAGAGGGTTGATCATCCTCTCTCATCACACATAACTGAACGTCTTGTACAGTTTTCCCAAAACTAGGAACTCAGTCTCCAGGGAAAAAGAGAAACACAGAAAGCTGCAAAACAGATGACCCAAATGTCTCTACCTTTGAAGATCAGGTAGCCCTCCATACTTAAGCCAGTCCCAGATGATTCAGACAAAAGGCAAGGCCCAGAGAGACCAAGTGACTTGCCCAGGGTCTGCCAGGTATTTGATGCACAGTGACTAGAGCCCTCAACTGCTGATTTCGGGTCTGAGACCCTCAGTTACAGCTGACTCCGTGACTACCACACGCTTCCGGCATCTGTCAGGTTCTGCCAAAAACTAGCTGTATAGCTTTAGCAAGGTATTTTCCCCAGTGGGGTTCATGCCTCTTCATTTGAAATGAGTCAGAATTAGATGAAGTGGAATGCTTCCAGGTTCCACGAGGCTTTAAAGCTGAAGGTGTCAAGCCAGAGATGCTGACATGTCTGTTGGTTCCTGCCTTTTCTTGATGAAGTGAACCTGGAGAACAGATCACAGCAGTCTGCCAGGACCTGGGCTTGAACATTTGCTAAAATGGAGCACTAGGAGACAGTACCACACCCACTGCCACAAGTCCTTCATCAGACTTTACTGACAAAACATACCCCACCTGGGCTTACCTGGGCAAAAGTGTGCAGACACCTGGCACACTGAGCTCTAGTAGTGGGGCCACTTAGCCTCGAGCCAGGTACAACTTAGAGACAGATGCTCAAGAAATGGAAGACCCAAGTCCTATCCCTTATGGTAACAATCCCATCAATAATAACAACACTAACAGAGGCTTACTATGTGCTAAATTGTTCTGAGTCCTTTACATGTATCAGCTCAAGGAGCCCCCAGAACTTTCGGAGGTAGGCATTACTTTCACCCCTCCCCAACTTTTGTTTCACAAATAAAGAAACTAAGACACCGAAGATACTTGGCCCCTGAGCAGTACAACTTGCAATTTAAACAACTTGGCTCCAGAGTTTGTGGTCTTAAACACTGGGCTATTCTCGAAATAATCACATAATCAAATAATATGATCACACAATAATCCACCTTCTGTTGTTTTAAATGAGTAAGAGAAAGTCCGTCTTTCTCATCATAGTCACGATCTCACCTAACCTTTCCAAGTCTCTGATGAAGGTACGGATTTCCCTGTTTTACAAATAAGGAAACTAAGGCTCAGAGAGGTAGACTGACTTGCCTCGTTAGTGGGACAGCTTGCAATTAAACCCAACTCCTTGACTCTAAACCTAGTCCACAGAAACATAACTCCATGCATCCTCTTTTAAGCTCCCTTATTAAACACGTATTTTGGGGTCCTATGAAGAAACACAAACAAATATATCCATCTCCTCTAGAAGTTTACCATCTAGTGGAGGAGACAAAGAATCATGATCAAGCATGTGCTTTGCCGGGGGACCCACACAAAGCTGTGACAACACAGAGGTGGGGCACATAACCAAGAATGACACAGAGAAAAGGCAAAACTTGGCTTGGAAGGACAGATGGGAATTGGCGGGTGAAGGGCAGAGTGTAGGCAGCCTGGACACTTGGAAGAACTGAAAGTCAATGTGAGGCACAAAAGTTTATGGGGCTGTGAAGAGAGAGATGAAGCTGGTGCCAGGCAGACAGGGGCCAATCCAGATGTGCCCAGAGGACCACGTGAAGTATCCTGGGCCTTCTCAGGAGGGGAAATCTGTGTGCACATGAGTGTACAGAGAACTCTGGATACTAAGAGAAGGATGGCATTTGATGCACAAATATGGGAAGCTCCTGGATGAAGCACCCAAAAAGCTGCAAGGCCTGGGCAGTCAGTAACATCAGAACTCAAAATGAAGTTATAGAAAACATACTGTGAACCGGGTTCGGTGGCTCATGCCTATAATCCCAGCACTCTGGGAGGACAAGGCAGGTGGATCACAGGGTCAGGCGTTCGAGACCAGCCTGATCAACATAGTGAAATGAAACCCCGTCTCTACTAAAAATACAAAAAATTAGTCAGGCATGATGGCGGGTGCCTGTAATCCCAGCTACTCGGGAAGCTGAGGCAGAAGAATCGCTTGAACCTCGGAGGCGGAGGTTGCAGTGAGCCAAGATCACACCACGGCACTCCAGCCTGGGCAACAGTGCAAGACTCCATCTCAATTTAAAAAAAAAAAAAAAAAAAAATCAAATTTTTGATTGAGTTACCCAAGACAATGAAAAAAATCACATCACAAATCTTCCTCTTCCCAAGATCCTGCCCCTTTGCCCCCTCTTAAATTGCAGGTAAGTTCCACTACAGATCTGCTGCTAGCAATGTGCTTTTTGGAATGTCCCCTTCTGTCTTCCATGCCTCAGTTATTCAGTTCGTAGAATGGGCACAAGGCACCCTGTCTATCTCAAATGAACACCAGAAAAATTAGAAGTCGCTGCAACATGTAGGGGAAAAAACCTACTAAGTCAAAGAAACAAAATTTTAGTCCTGGTACTGACTCTCCCATTCAGGAGCTCACAGCTTTGGAAAAGCCACTTGACCTCACTGCTCGTCAGTAACTATCTGCAAAAGGAAACATGAGCTGAACAGGCCACCTACAATGTTAAATTCTGCGCTAAAATTCCATCATTTTGTTTGAAACATATTCTGAATAACCTGAAGGTAAAACATCACCAATTCTAAGATGCACATTTTCCCTCCATTTTAACATCTCTCAAACTGAACTGATTTTAATAACAAATGTTATATTGTCACGGGCAGCATTTTTTTCTATGTAAAATGTCTTACACTCAATGATGTTTTAAGTTTGCTCAGGCTGGGCACAGTAACTCACACCTGTAATCTCAGTACTTTGGGAAGTCTGAGGCGGGCAGGTTGCTCGAGCTCAGGAGTTCAAGACCAGCCTGGGCAACATGGCAACACTTCATCTCTACAAAAAGATACAAATATCATCCAGGCGTGGCGGCATGTCCCAGCTACTCGGGAGGCTGAGGTGAGAGGATCACTTGAGCCCAGGAGGTAGAGGCTGCATTGAGCCAAGGCGGTGCCACAGCACTCCAGCCTAGAGGGAGGACCTGCCTCAAAATAAATTAAAAAGTGTGCTCAAACATGGTAAGTTAAAGTTGTCCTTTTTCCTTTTCTCAGCTGGTCACTAAGTTCAGAGAACTCAGTAGAAAAACAGGGCTGGAATCTGTCCAGGGACATTCCCCAAAACACTTAGGGGGAAAAAAACCTCTCTTCTAGACTCAGCTGTTTACATCTGCGTGGTTGTGTCTGTATGTCCCAGCCCGGGCCATGAGCTCTCTGAGGGCAGGGGCTCAGTCAGATTGATCTATCACCCCGGGGTCCTAGACATTTGCCAGGTTTCAGGGGTTGCAATGTATCAATGCTGTGCCTGAAGCAATCAAACCGCCTCCACAGGAGGCCGGCAGGAGCACTGCCACTAGCTCCGGTCACCAGTGGTCAAGGTGCTGACTACTCAAGTCCCTGAGTCCCCCTTGCTGGGAACTGGACACTGAGATGACCACTCACCAGCACATCCCTGAAGAGTAGCTGCGGCCCGGAGTGCACCGTCCAGTCCACCGCGCCACTATTTGGGATCTTGATGCGAATTACCAGCACCTGGTTCTCCATGGCAGGAAAGGGGCCAAGGGCTAGCCACAGCATCACAGGTTCAAGGGGCTCACATCATGGGGGAGGGGGTACCCGCTGGCCGCTGGTCAGGAGGGGGCTCCAAGAGGTGACAAGGGGGGTGAGGAGCAGAGGGTGAAAACAAGGGACTGGGGGCTGAGGAGGGGGGAAGGAAGGGGTGATTCGGGGTGATTCGGCAGGGACCCAGGGCACCGCGCCTGCCCAGGCTGTCCGGGTCTGCGGCGCCTCCCGGGGAGGGTGCACCGGGGAGCGGGAGAGGCCCGCAGGAACCGGCAGAGGTCGGAAGGTTCTGGAGCTGGGCGAACGCTGCGGTGAAGCTCTCCGCCGCCGTGTGGCTGTGGGGGGCGGCAGGGCAGGGACTCGGTGTGGGGGAGACACAGCGGCAGGCGTCCCCCGCCCGTCAGTAAGAGGGTCCTCGACTGGAGGGGACTCAGTCCCGGGCTACTAAGAAGGCGCCCCAGGGCCGCCGCACCACGGAGAGTCCCCGCGGGAGGGTCAAGGGCGAGTCTTCCGCCCCACCCGGGGACACAGGGCGCGGCGCGCGCCGGCTGGGACCCGGCCTCCCAAGGCCGCGCGGACCGGAGGCGGCGGCGGCGGCGGCGTCGGTGGCGGCAGCAGCGGCGAGAGGAGGAGGAGGAAGGCGGCGGCGACACTGTTACTCCGGAACCAAAACGCGCAGCGCCGGAACCCCGGGAGCCGACGAGCGGGACCCGCCTCCCGCGGCGCCATGTTGGAAAAGGGCAGCAGCCCCCGCGCGCACGCGCCTCCGGAGGGCGGGAGCGGAGGAACCGGCGCGCGGCGCGGGGCGGGACTCTTCGCCCACTGAGCGCCCGCGGCGGCCTTTCGCCTCCCGACCCCGCTTCCTGACGGCGAGGTGGAGACATCTGCCAGACGAAGGGCGCACGCGATCTGGGGCTGCGGTCCGCCAGCAGCCGACTGAGGGCTCAGCCTTGCCGACCGTTTGTCTTTACAACAGCTTCAGAGACCGGGGCTGCGGCTCCGGGCTGTCCCCACTTCGTCAGGTCATTCATCTGCATCTTCGTGGGGTTGCGCGAATCAGCAAGGGCAAGGCAAAAACCCAAGAAAGAGTGGCCTTTTTTATTCCTCCTTCCAAGTCACAGGTCCAGACGATCGTCCTCTCCCTCCCACGTTAGCAGAAAGTATTTGCGTTTTTCAGTGAGGTTCTTTACCCCACGAGTGCCCTAAAATAGCAAACAGTTCCCTGTTCCAAAGCAATAGGAAAGAAATTTGCTAAAGAGTTTAATTGCCTGGGGACGGCGGCAGCAGTGGCGTCATCACCTCTTATTAAACTGTTGGAGAAATATTCGGTCCAGTCCATGTGTTTTCAACTAAATGGCGCTGCTTACGCAGTCGGTGGTATCAGAAGTAGCAGTAAACCTTGGTTATCTTTAAACACCTTGTTGTCTCAGATTTTAAAGTGCATAATTTTGTTGAAAGATGGTGCCTCTACAGAAGTTTGTTTGCAAATCGTAACGTGTAGGTTCGTCCTTTCTCTCATTCTAATGAAGGTGCACGATGGGCTTTACTTTTTGGGGTTGAATTTTGTATGAACTCGGTTGAGGTGGCGTGTCCGTTTCCCTTCTAACAGTCAGATGCTTGGTTAATGTGAGAGAAAAAAATTAACGATCATTTTCAGTTACAATATCAAAATTTTTTCTGCATACTTTACTCTGAGTTTCTTTTATATTTAATTTGAAAGGCCATTGTGGGAGACAAATTATCACCTTTTAAGTTATTGTAAATTAATACCTTAGGTAGAAATTCATTTAGTCAGATCCTTAAGATATTCTAGGAATTGCCCCTTTTCACCTGCACGTCATTTCCGTGAAAAATAAACCGTTTATCCTAAGTCCTCATGTACTTTTATTAAAAGTTCATTTCCTATTCTTTTAGAAAATAGACCACAAAACTGAAGATTTTCTATGAACCTGTGATTTGTTAAAATGTCTCATTTATTCAGAGTACCGTGGGGAAAACCAACTCAATTTGCCAAATTTGCATACATATGCTGAACCTTTCTTACACTAATGGCAAACTCATATCTCTTTCCCAATATTTGCAGAGCCAATATAATTACACATCAGCTCTTCATAGCCTTTATATAGTAAGAAATCTTTGATGATTTGAGCAAGGATTTTCCAGAAAGTTCTGTCATTGAGAGAAGTATCATGGTCGCAGATATGGAAGACCATTCCATTTGGTATCATAAATGACAAAATATAACTTGTTGCTCTTTACCAGATTGAATACTGTCTAAATTTAAGGAATATTTAATATTTAACATTGAAGTTGTATGTGATCTTAAGACTTTTGCATTTAGTATTTTTTTTTTTTTTTTTTTT